TTTATATTGCACTAAATCAGGGGTCCTCAAACTAGGCGCCCTGAGGCGGATACGTGCAATGAATGTTTGTGTTGCTGCAGAGAGTCTCCCCCTTCGGGGTCTTTTTGTGTGGGGCAGAGGGGGGCAGAAATTCTGACTTGGGGTCTGCTTCAGCCTCCTGGTGCGGGGCTTTGGGCGAAGGCTGGAGGGAAGTGCCGCTGGTGGCAATGAGCTGGAGGGTCTCGTTCCAGTGGGACTGCATCATGGCCTGGAGCTGGCAGACCATCTCAGCCCACTGAGCCTCCAGGCACCGGTACCTGGCCTTGCACTCCCGCAGCTCTTCCCTCTGCTTGGAAAGCCTATGCTCATAGTTCTCAGTGAGGTGCTTCTGAATGAGTCTCCTTCTCGGTCAGATTCAATTTGAACTGATCCAAATGTTTTGCCAACTCTTTCGCATGGTGGCTGCTTAGCTCCAACAACTGCTTCCTTTTGGGGCCCTAAGGAGACCAGGCAGGCAGGTGAAGAGTGGCTGGGAGGGGAGGGGTGAGTAGAAGCCGGCAAGGCACCCTTCGACGTGAGTGACATTGAGTTGGCCACTCCTACCCAGCAGATCATATGTCCACGGGATTTAAAATTATGAATTTAGTGATGTCTGAGGTCCGAAAGGTTGGTGACCCCCTATTCTAGACTGCGCCACATGCCTTTAAATGATAAACACACGACAGAGGCATAAAGACAAGCAAGACTCAAATACTAAACTGCACCTACCATGATATCATATGAAAGTTTGTCCGGCAGCGTAGTGAGTCTGTCCTGAAGTGCTTCGTAGTCACTTTCAACCTTCTTCCTACAGGGAAGTTCAGACAAAACATGCTGTCAGTTCTAAATTGATTAACTTTATGAGCATAGAAATACATTATACACATTGCTAAGTCGAGGCTTGAACCAGAAACTATGCTTTGCATGTTATGGTGACAAACTGCCACAAGTAATTTAGGTTGGGGGTGGGTGGGTGGGGAGTTCCAAAACATTTCTTCATCTTTTTGTAAATATGGTATGTGAGACTACAGGTAGTCCTCAACTTACGACCAGAATTATGCCCAAAATTTCCATGGCTAAGCAGGACACTTGTTAAGTGATTTTTCCCCCCCCCCATCTTGCCAAGCGTTCAGTTTTTAATCATGTGACCATGGGAA